ATAAACATTCCCGGGGCAGAATGAAGTAAGATTTTAAAAACGTTCCATCTTCACTATTTTTTTGTTTTTTTTCTCTATGTTCTTCTGTTAATTCTTTTCCAGAGACAACTCTCCAGTGATTTCCAGTCTCTCGGAGGTCATTTCCCCACTCCTGATTGAAACTGTACCTGATAACATCGAAATCTTTGTGGATACTGTCAATTCCTATGTGGGGCGCTTCCTTACCGCCTACCCTTCCCTTCAACGCCTAATACATGCCTTCTGCGCCTGCCTGAAGGGACCCTCTCTCTCAGCTGAGGCAGTAGCACGTGCCTGGGTTGTGTGGGGTGCTCTGCAGATGCACTGCGCTTTCCCCGCCTCTCCTCTCGATCCAATTATTGCAAATGCCTTTAAGATTGCCATCACAGAAGCTGAAGTGAGTCGCCTTTCCAGTAATGTTCCCTTCCATTCTATGATTGACAGGGGTTTAAGTGATTTGGTTTTGGTGGGAAGTAATGTACTTGGCAATCACAAGATCCAATTCAGGATGAAAGAATTTGTGTGTGAAAAAGCCTCAGGTGGTAGGACTTGATTCGCATTGCTATTCGAGATTATTTAGGTCCCTTATGTTGGACAACCGTTGCTTCCATTGAGATGACATTTGGGGAAATACCGACTTTATCCGAATGATTCATAGCGTAGGCATATTTGACAGACCGCTATGAAATGCGGTTTATATTCATCGCTCACTCGAACTTGTCTCTGTTATCGCTTAATATAGCCACAAAAATAGTTATTTTGTCCACCGAGTGATGGCACTAGTAATTAGCAATACCTCCCCATCACATTAAATTAGCTTCACCGTCTTAACACCGACCTCCGAGTTCGCGCTGCCATCCGATCAATAGAGGTGGGCTCATGTGGATTGCCTTGCCCCACCCACTCAGCCATTCCGCACACAGGTTGCGTGGATAGTGAAACCGTTCAATCGAACGTTGAGGCGGGTCTGGAACATCCTCTAGTCGGCGCGATCGTCAGACGCCAGGTCGAGATTTCCCGTCGTCTAGAACGTCTCAAAAGTCGCCAGGTCGTGGATTTAGAGAACGAGGTGTTGCAGCTGCGAGCAGCATCTAATTCAGAAGTGAGGAAGGAAAGCGGTTAATTGATTAATGCTTCCTGTTCTATAGCTCTGGTAAATGTTTACTATTTCTACGCCGTTCTAGTATGCTGAGCTGCGCCATCGTTTGGCTGCATTTAACCAGAACTTCACGGATAAATTTTTGCTGGATCTGTTGGAGCGAGATGTAAGGTCGAGTTGGAGTGCATTTCGGCAGTGGACTGAGGCTGCCGCTACGCTATCCGAGTGGTTTATTCAACCGCAGCGTCTTCATTTCTACGCGGATGTTGTGGAACCATATCTCATTGGAGTCGCCAAGGTGAGCTCATCACCTTTTTAAAGTTGTATGACGCCAAAAGAATCTTGCTTATATATTTATTTATAAACCTTTATGGTCATTGTTTTTATTTGCAAGCCTGCTTTTTGCTATCCATTTATAGTGCAGGCTTTTGAATGCACCCTTAGTGCTCTATATGGACTTTTAATTTGATAGCCTCAGTTTTTGGAAACGGGTAAACCCACAACTTGTAGCACAAAAAGTGCTGGTAATGATTTCATAATGATTGGAAATGGTGAAGATGAACCAGCAGAAGTCATCAAATATCGTGAAATGGATGATAATGCAGAGCAGGTTGAATGGGCCGACTTTAGAGCCTGTTTCTTCCTCCAAAATTATTGAGTTACTTATGCTTCGAATTAGGGTCATTAGGCACAAAAAAAGTAAAAATCATTGCTCATTTTACGTGAATTTGTGGAGACGTGAATACTGGTAATTTCTATATGAGCCTCACTAAGTTAATACGCAAATAACTATTTATGGAACATTATTTTGAGGCTTAACAAGTAGTCGATTGTTTGCAACACTTGATGTTATTTTAATTTCAAGATCGGCACTTAATCGTCCGCATTAATTTTAGGTTGCACACGGACTTCGAGCTCTAGTTCAGTTGGAGGTCTCCAAGGACGATGACGTGAGCTTCTTTTGGTTACTTTTCTTCAATACTACCCAAAGAGCGTGGAATTCAATTCTTATCATTCCAGATAGCGCAATGGGATTTCGATCTTGATGACCAATTCAATTTTAGTCGGTTGCATAACTGTGTATAACGCTACTTCTCCCTTACGACTGTTCATGAACAAATTGTGGCATTTGCCAAGCTTAACTTTTGACAATATTTAAACAGCTCAAGTCATTCATTTTTGTATGTTTTTCTGAATTTTGTAGTGAAGTTTTCACTTCCCAAACAAACTAAACTCCCTACTGAAATAAGTTTCTGCATTTACTCGATTACTAGGGTATTTTCCCCCTTGGGACAGCTTATTTTTCACGCTTAAAATGGGAAAATTGATGAAATCAGTTACTTTTGATTGCAAGTTGAACTATTTTGTAGGCTGACTGACCGATTGGATTTTAATCTAAGGCTGAAGGTATTGTCCACATTGCATTAATCATTTAGCCACGAAATTGTAAGATATTGTTCCTCCATATCTTATCGTCGGAACGGAATAAAGATTCGCCGATCACCAACTGTTTTTTTGCCACAATCGTCTGATCCAAAGAAATTCAACTGCAAACGTAAAGTGATGCACTAAAATTGAATTTGAATTCTGTAAATTAAACGAATGGCTGTTTTCTCTGCGCATTAGATACTCATCTGAACAAACGGTTTACTCCTCCAAGTGACAAGTGTGTCATCTTCTGTATATGGGTTGGACTTTCATCTGCTAATGATTAAATTGCCATAAACTAACTCGACAATATCAACTTATTTCTCTAGGCCTCCTCTTTTGTGACCTTGGTGGACAATCTCTCAACGGGATTGTTCCCCACCCTAGCAACCACCACCTGCGCTGTCTGTCCACACACCCACCGCGAACCTCCAATGTCGCCGTGCCTGGAGTTGGCTCGTCGGCTCATATCGCCACAAATTCGACGTGTTCTGCGCGCTTCCCTTGGTCCATCATTGTGGAAGTATCATGAGATTGATAGAGATGGCGCCTCTAGACGGTCCATCTATACTGACTCTCGGGACGTCGTGGCTCATAGGCGTAAGGTCACCCTCCTGCATGCGGAAGTTGAGTATCGGTAAGCAAAATGCTTCAGCAAAACGATATTTGGTAGATTATTATCGTTACAACGTCACCTTGGTAGACAGTCCCGACTAATTAATCTTTCGTAGTTTTTCTTGTTCACCTTCCTCGATATGATCTCCTTGCAGCACATTTCTTTCAACGTTTGTTAAAATCCTTGGAATACGTTCTTACTTTATTTCCCGAACTCATAATGAATATTCCTTGTTAATGTGCTTTTCAGTGTCGCTCATTGAACTGACAACTTAGTTCGGATAGCACTGTAAAGCTATCTCGTACCATATCAGAATACGCGAAATCTCCGGGCTCGAATGTTTGTGCAACGCGTTTAGATCGCTATTCTACTTTAAATGATGTCTGCCAAGCCAAGGGCATAGTTTGGGTAGGATTACAAAGTTCAATTTTTACCGTACTGGTGAAATTGAGACCAACTGAAATACGTATTTGAGACCAAAAGAAGGAAGCCGCGGTCTAACAGTAATAAGAATACTCAGTTGAAATTCTTGATATAACTTTTAGAAATACTTTCTGAAAACATGCGCTTAAGATGGTCATTCCTATGTTGCTTTTCTTGGAATGCAATGAAATTGATTGAAATGTGGTTTCTCTCTCTACAACACTTTCTACATCTTCGATACAGAAATTTTGCTCGGTCTACATTGACTATTTTCTTCTAAGTTCGTAGTAGTTTAACATTAATGCTTTTCAAGTTAAAAATCAACAAATTATAATAGATTCGTCTCAAAGCGATTCTGGTGTTTTTTTTCGATTGGAATAATCGTTAGGCCAGTGATTATTAGATTCCTGATACGGTATCCCAGACTGATTCCTCATCGTTCATTATTTTATCTCTCCGGTTTTTGTGTACTTCTGTCAACCCCTGTTTAAGTGCCTAAACCTATCTTGTTTTACTGAAAGGACTCGCGTCGTATTTATTCCTTTGGTTCATTTCAAGTAGTTCGTGTAACACTGTGAAGCCCAATTGTGTCATTTTGAGGAATCTGAAGCTTACTTGTTTTCATAAATAGACCTGATAATTAAATACCTGTTTATAAAAACCTAGCTCTTCCTTCTCTTCCTTACTTCAGACTGCATTCCTACATTTTGAATCTACTAATCCTGGACCGCCTTTCCAGTCCCACCTGCCTCCCCCAAAACGTCCACTTTATCTCACGTCTTCTGAAAACCCTCACTGGCCAGCTGGCCCAACGCTGGCGTCGTCGCGAGTCTCGTCGTAAACGCGACGCGGAGCGTCGTGCCGCACTCTTCATCGAAGCTGAAGGTCGTCGCCGCAAATGCCTTGACGATCTCCAATCTGCCGTCGCTGCAAAGCTAAAACGTTCCACTGGTGGTGGCACTCGTGCTGAGCGTCGCAAACGTCGCCAGGAGGCGGTGGAAGCGAGCGAACTACCTGAACTCGTCGATGCGAGTCTTAATGAGGAGGTCGAGTGGCGACTTCGCTTCTCCGAGGCCGGTGCGATAGAAGCAAAGCGGTGCCTCACCAGCTGTAACTCTGGTACTTCCGCCTTTCTGGAATTGCGGTTCT